TCTTTCATCTGCAATTATAAGAGTATTATCGGTTTGTAGTCCTACAATACCAATACCGTTATTAGAGTAAAGTAAACAAGGATTATATATAGATTGCGTCATATTTAGCCTATCCCTATAGTGATTATGGTAGATTCCCAAACCAGTGATTCCTGCTTCTGGTACACTATATAAGGGCTTTATGATATATAATATATATCCAAAATCAAGTCCAACCTTTTCTGGTGCTTCTATATAAATAGATTTGTTCAAAGTTATAATTGATTGAATGTATATTTATATAATATTCTGTAAATAAACCTGAATATACTTGTTTGACACTCGCAAAATAGCGGCAAGTGTAAGTATAATACACTAGCTAATGTGTTGAATAATCAGTGATTGCATCAAAACAATGGTTTTGCCTGCATCTTGGTATGTCTGAATTACTAATCGTGATTTCGTGTATACTTTATCAATACCTTCTTCTTTTATTTCGTTAATAAATCATAATTTAAATAGTCGTGTTCCAAGTGATATACTAGTTTTTAAGACAATTTTAAAGACTCCATTTTTTATTAGTTCATTAACTTTCTTGTATTATAATTTCTTATATCATGTAGGTGTATCATCTTACAAGAATATAGTTAGTTATAGTAATAATAGCTTAATATTGATATCCATTAAATTGACTATATTAGTCAAGTTGCTTCTCATGTAATAACATAATTGTATATCTGGTTGTACCGCTAGCAGTGGTGTTTGCGGTTATAGTATCTCTATTTGTGATGTATCAATTATTATAGTATTACTGTCGTTATTACTATTCGTATCATTACTATCATTCGATTCGATTTCTTCAAGCTCTTCATAAAAAGGTCGTACAGACATAGATCGAAATTTAATCGGTCCATTGGTGAGTTCCATTTTACATGTTTCTCTATCCGTTCCAATCAGAGTATATAATCCAGTTCATTTGTTTAATGTATTGCTACCTTTTCCTTCTCTTTATACTAAAACTTGTAAATTAAATGGTTAGAGTAAGGACTGATGTCATGGATAATCCATTTCTCAATCTGAGTGTTTCTGTGATCTATCTCTTAGCTTGTATATAATGTACTTCTGTCATAGCTTTCTTCGTAGTTTTTGTGTGTTGAATAATTATCGAGGTTGGTGGATTAATATCACTTAATCTAGGGTATATCCCATAAACTAGCAGTGTGGGAACAAGCTTATTTGGTCCAACTATATCATTCACAGCTTTTATTGTTATTTGTAAAATCATTGTTTTTATCAAATTGTTTATCTTCAAGCTTTTTAGTTAAAATCTTGTATGTACAGTATAGGGGGGTAATAATATTTCTTTATTATACTTACAGAATTATGTGTTTCAATTGGTATGCTCTTAGTAATGATTGATATAGATTTTGCATTTTAAATAAACTCTTTATTTATAAAGTTCTTTCCTATATTATGAATAATGTAATCTGATAATCTCATATATACATCAATCCAGCACTCTCGAAGAATATCGAATATATGCTTAGCTGAAATATTTTCAAAAAACCAAGCTGCTTAATAATATATTGCCTTATCAATAATATGTAAAACTAGTTTGTTTGTAATATATATAATATCGATATATATAGTATAGTTAAATTCAGTATCCTCTAATAGAATAAACCTGAAATATCCGAGTGACTTGCTATACATTTGATAATGCTTATAATATTTAATAAGATGTTTTATAGTGTTATTGCTCTTGTTATAATCTACACATTATAATACACTATAAAAGCATTATGCAAATGGGTGGTCGAATTGTTAATATAAACACTATAATTTAGTAATTATTAAATAATAATTATTCTAATAAATAGACTTTTGAATAAACTAATCTATATTTACCTTCTATATCAAAAATGCATGCCTGCATTTTCTAGTAACAGAATATTAACCAATTGGATTGATGAATTTATTAGCAATATTATTATAAAATACTTTAAGCTAATCTATATCCTCAAATCCTAATAAAATAGAATATCGATATCCACAATATAAAAAACAATGTATTCAAATAGTGTATCGATATGAAATGAACCTATTAATATTGCAATCCCTTTTTTAAATATATATTCGCTGCTCCTACTGTTTGTGGATCATATGTTATTGGGCATACCTGTTTGCTATGTATGATATTGTCCAATCCCAACTATAGATTTACCTGCACAAGCTATATCGATACATATACCGAAGAACTCCTTGCTTGTGTAACTTGCATAAAAGACATCTATTGCACTTTCTGCCAATAGAATAGCTTCAACAGGATCTCTAATCAATATATGTAATATCATATTGACTGATAATTGATTGAATATCTCTTGGCTATTTATAGATTCTGAACTAACGAAAAATGCTTTTTCTTTAGTATTATCAATATCAAGATCTACAAAAAACTGTTCCATTTCGGTTTCTAAATCAGATTCTATATTAATAGCTTTTTCTTTATATTCGATCAATTATTGGTTGTAGTGCTTATTAAACGCGTTATTACTATTATCCTTAATCTTTTCCCGATATTTATATTGGTTTTTATCCTATTCCTTTTAGGAATACTTTGTTAATCGATATCCCTTTTTCTTGTATATCCAATAACGATTTCGTTGATTCGAAGAATTAGATTATTATCAAAACCTATTAGTATTGCTCTTGAAGCTGTTGTTTCTGAAATTATCGCTTCTGAAACCTCTAGAATCATTTGAACTATTCTGGTTATTATTACTGCGGAATCTTTTGTCAGTGAATAGCACTATATCTTTTTCCTTATGCGATCTTTCCCATGTATTAATAAATTATCGCAATTAGTTAATTAAACCAAACATCTCCTTTTTGGAATCGAAATAAGCTAGGTTGTATACCTCAACATCTTTATATGCTAGTATAAGCTTATTGTGTAGATATGATGTCTGCCGCATAGTAGGATCAAGTCAATGTTGTAGTATGCGTAGCTGCTTGATTATAATGGTAAGACACTTACTAAGTAACTTGTTTTATACTTCTTTTTAGTCGATTTGAGAATAATACTATTCTATTTAGACAGTATATTGCATTGATACTCTTTTCCCTCAAAGTTATTCTGTATATAAGTGCAAAGCTCTCTGAATATAGGTGATAGTGCTTTGTAGTTAGTATGAAAGAATTCGAGTGTGCTGTCTTTTAGTATGATTGGGAATGCCTTGTATTGCATATCCATAGGCACCTTTGTATATTGTGAGATTTCATAGAATATTGAGAGTTTGAAATCGAAATTATCGTTATCCCCGTTATATTTCTCCTCATTGATATAGAATTTCGATAAACTGACAAGAGATTGTGTATTAGAATATATTAATAGTTTTTTATCCCTATTGTATCGATCTTTATTGTCCTTTCTATCACTATTACCATCATCATTATCATCAGGATTTCCTCTTTCGTTATCCTTCTTATCATCTTTTTGATTATCTTTGTTGTATTCGAAATTATTATCAATAAATCTATTAATTGTTCCGGATCTAAACTTAGATTCTTTAAGATTACAATCTTTCAGAACTTCCTGAACTTAGTCTTTCATCTATGTATTTGTAATAGACCTATGTGATTGATTGTATAAAGCTGTAAATATTTCAATATCTAATTTCGGTATTCATATTCCTTGAGCATATAATATTATTCGTAGTTTTCGTGTATCCAACTAATGGATCTTCGCGAATTACCTACTTATGAATATGCTGAAGTCATTATAAAAGACTTTAACTAGCTTATCGTCATTGATATCCTTATAGTCATATTGCTTGTGCTTGAATTTGATGTATTTGGTAAACTCCTTAAAATCAAAATCAATAATTCCATTATCAGCTTGTTATTCCTTTAATAGGCTTAACCACTCTTCGCAATACTCCTCTTCCTCTTCCGTGTATAATTCCTTACTGATAATCTTAGAGGTAATCGGAATGTTATCGCTATCCGATATGATAGGGTGTGTATAGGGGTATTTCGAAGGTTGTAGGTATTTCAAAGATTATAGGTAGATTGTAGATATTTCAAAGATTATAGGTATATTGTAAATATGAAAGGTATGAGAAAGTATATAAAAAATATTTAGATAAAGGGTTTATCTTATACAATATATAGTACAAAGGTAAATGCATAATAAACACAAAATCGATTCGTCACACTTGACCAGTTGATTCTTTTGAATATGTTTTTCTGATACAATTATCCAAAGCATATTCTTTAGTATAACAAAAAGAGAAAACACATTATACCTAATACAATAATATCTTTCTTTATGATCTCTTCAGAATTTCTACCAATCCTGAATACTACTTCTAAATACCTAATGCTTTCTAATAAAATCCAAAGCCCTAATTTGTGATATCACTAATTAGTATTAATATCAATTTAGTATTGATTAAAGTGTAAAATATTTCATTCTTATTAATATAATTGATTGTATTATTCGTCTTGATCATTATTAACTATAGAAAGCTAGTACTTGATATAGTAGAAGTGCTAGCGCTAGTGCATACGCTAGTACATACGCTAGTGCAATACAGTGCCCTCTTAGATCACATGATCGATATCCCGACAGTTCTAATTAAACATAGAATTTGGAATTGCAGAGCTTCATACCGTGATTTCAAAAACCAGCAATCTATTCAAGAAACTATAAGACTTCAGACCATCGTATGGTTAAATCGGGTTGAATAGATGAAAGAAGTGATTCTTTTTTGTATATCAAGATTGCGGCTATGCATACACTTTTGTTGATTGTGCCTGCCACAATACAACAAAACATCTATAAACTAACTATATGACCCCTCGATCTTTCCGTCTTATACGCACAATCAAAGTGTTGTAAATGATATTCTCTTTAATACAGCCTCATTAATTTCCACTCAAGTATTCCACGCCTTATACCTCAAACCAAGCAACTTCCTTATTTTATATTTTGAATACATTCAAACAGTACTAATAACATGTTGAATTTGGCGAAATTCCACGAGCTTTCCGTCGAGATACAATCTCTAATCTTAAAAGCTTGTGAGCCCAGAGATTTGTCAAGATTATGTAGGTACTAATTCTTCTAGTAGTTGCATAGGATCGATGACTGACTTTGTTATAAATAGCACAAGCGTCGCGTGGGATGTATGAATGTACTTTGCCGATAATGTACCGTCATATAAATCTTAGCTCTCATCGGACTACCTCTGATGATCTGATCGACTTAAGAGGCTTTGTGTATACATCTTCGCAACACAAAGACAATGTGAAGCGGCAGAACGCATTCATCAACACGATTCTCAGGTTGCCCACGCTAGGAAAATTCGTTTCGAGTTTAACTTGGACCATCTATCCGAGGCAGTGTTCATATCAACAGAAATGCGAGGATCATGCAAAAATGTGGGAGGCGTGGAAGTTGCTAATTCGAGTTAAAAGACTAGACATTTATTCATTTGCTGCTGACTGGGAAGACTTTTTTATTTTCCCATAAGATTGTTTTACGAAGATTATTTGGGACCTTTAGCAATTATAACACCAGCGGTATTCCCCGAAGCTACTGTCATTAGAATGGGAGGTATTATGCCCTATAACTATTTCCGCGCTTGTGTTTCGACGCCTTCTATTGTAGCTTCTTTGGAGATGGAAAATCTTCAAGGCCTCCTACAACCGAGAGATGGCTTTCGCCTTTCAAATCATGTTTTATTTCATCTGCATGTTGGCGATCATTTCTGGTCAAACCAGACAAGATACAAAGAGACTAAGGATGAGAACGGAATTCCTGTATTGAGACACGCCGGCCCAATGAGAGGGCATCTAAAGCCTCTTATTGGAAAATTTGTGCAATTGAAACATCTTTAAATCTCTACAGCAGGTCGTGAGGTCAGTCAAGGTCTTAGATGGTCAGAAACAAGAGAAAGAAAGCGATATTCCGAAATGGCAAGTTTCATCACATCGGTAGCACCCACACTGGTTACTTTTGCTTTTGAACAAGGAGTGGGACTTGAACCACTTGAAAAAAGGCAAGTGGAGTCGCATAATCATACATTCATATTGAGCTAATCGAGAAGGCCAATGGATGATTACTTTTTTAAGTTTATACTTTCAGCATTGTTAGGAGGAACTTGGTCCCGACTCAGGAAATTTTCTATCCGAGGTCTCTGTGGAAATGTTAGGTACGAGACCAGACGATTGCTTAGATATGTGAACTTTACACCAGAGGCACCTGAAGTTCTAGAGTCGGTTATGCACCAGTTGCGTTCTGTCATGAGCAATAGCGTCGAGTTCACTTTTGAGAGGGAGACTCAGAGTGTGTTTCGTATGATGCATTTAAATAACTATAAGAGACAACACTAGCCGATCAACGATGATTCAATTCAGCGTTCCGTTGCTGGATGGGGCAAGGCAATTCTCACCCGAAAATTCGAGTGGACACTTCGTTAAAACCAAAGAGCTACTTGTATTTTGATACGACCCTTTAGCGTTGCAGATAATAATCCAAACTATCAATAAATCCATCGCTACAGTGTAATTGAATGCATGGTTTTGGAAACTACAGGATTGACTCCAAAACGTAGAGAACAATTCATGTGATTCAAAGGGATATTCGCTTACGTCGTTGATAACTATGACAAGCTTGCTTTACAACAGCCACCAAGGATGAAACGCCTACTACTAAAAACCAATTGTTCTCAAATAATGATGTCCATAAGCAAATTTAGTTATTTTACCACGGCCTATAACGCAAGAATTAAATTAATGGAATCAAAAACTTGACTCTTTTGTTGATCACTCAATTTGTATCTTTTCAGCAAGATCACTGGTTCTACCTCTACAACTATCGATATATTCTGCAATCCTCTTTATTGACCCATTATACAGCACTCTTATCTTTAATTCTTCCAGACTCAAGTTTTCAACATTATACAAGCCCATCAGACCTGACTTCTTTCCTTCCTTCGACTGTGACGTGGGATACGCCAACAAACCTTCCTCGACATACTCTATCTGAAATTTACATAATCTTTATAAATTGTTAGGACTCAACATGTATGAAAAGCCATGTAAATCCGGGATGGTAAAGGGCTTGGTCAACACAAGGATATTTCGGGCTGATTATTATTCTAGGGGTTTAGTTTTTTACTATTCCCAGTTAAAGAGCAAACATCAATTCCTTGTTCACAATCCACGGCTCACATGTAAGGGGATTGATTAATCAGTAGCAGATGCTGAGGCTTCGTAGACTCTTTAATACTGAGTCACGTTCTCCTATTCTCACTAGGAATATCTCAATTCAGATGACAGTATCGTATTTGCTTTTGATATGTCTAATCTAATTTTGTTAATTACACATTATACTTCCATTTCAAATCCTCTTCTTTCGTTGTACACCTGGATATTATAATCCTGATATATCTTTGTACGGATGGGATAGAATTTCACAAAATCTAATCAGGTCTAGGACACGGGAATGAGAGCTTTAACTAGCATGATATACTAGCATGAAGCTTGTGTATTTAAGTAAGCTTGTTTCCCCGCTTTGTACTGATCCGTATTAGCTCCCGAAAAATTTGCGCTATCAATGATTGTGTTGCATACCTGAACATGGATGTTTTTGTTTTGATGGTTAGTCTTGTTCTAGGGGTACTTTTAGTCTGCGATTAGTCACTCTAGCTTTGAGCTTCTAGAGAAGTTTAATTTATGCTTGCTCTATAGTGTCCTGAAGATTCATCATCTAATACTGTACTCGTTTCCTGGAACAATATTCACGATCGAAGCACAAAGCAGGCATGATGTAGATATATGATGTGTGATAATTTGAAATCATATGTACAAAGTAGAGTTCCTTATGCACAATTCCCCAAACGAGCGAGTCTTTCCGATGTTAAGTTTCATCTCATACCACACAAGATCAATAAAGGATTGCTTCCAATTTTCTCCACCACCTTATTTTGATAAACGAGCGCTTCTAGTTTTCTCCTTCATCATCATCTTTATCACTATCATAATTCATCACCCGACTTCTACGATTTGACTCCTGGTGCCTAATCCACAAACTCTTAACCGTAAGTAGAGTTAATAGCTCCGACCTTGATGTTACTATAGACTACATAAGCATTAGGAGAACTTGCTTCTACCGAAGCTGGAACTCCCGATGATGTAGAACAAGTACCTCTTGGACCACCTGCTGATTTTTGAGTAGTAGGGTAAGTAGAGTCGAGCCAAAGCATATTGGCATAATAATCATCCCAAAGAGACAACACGAGAACCATACCGGCTTTGAAAGCAGCAGACATTGAAGCAAGACCACCATGTTTGGCAAAGGATGTTGGATCACCAAAAGCAGTTTTTTGGGCATTGCAGAAAGGAGTTGTGATGGAATTGCCGGTTACGCCTGAGATTGTGGAGTAGGAGTTGGGAATAACTTTGCCGTTTTGGACGTAAAATCGTTTGATTTCATTGAGAGTACCAGATGCTGTGCCGTCGGTGGTGAGGAACTGGTTGAAGTTTTAGTTCATTCTTTAAGTATACGTGACTAAAAGATGCTTACCTGTGTGACGACAGTAAAGACAGACTTAGTGTCGACAGTCATACCTGGACCGTAGAAGGTCTTGTTACCCATGCGGTAAGAGTTGAAATCACATCCATCTGGATCGCAAGTACCAGCATATCTTGATGATGAGTAGGTGCCACCGCATGCATCACCGGTACAGACAGTTGGTGTCACAGTATCACAAGAGTGAGGAGTGACAGCAGTGGAAATCGAGTTTGCTTCCCAGATATCCATTTCAGCACAGCATGAACCGTGATTACCAACACCAGTGTTGGCGTTGTTGCTTGAGGGTACCCAACCATCAACATTGGCCTAGTACACAATTCTATTAGCTTTATCCTCTTGCAATATGAATCTGAACTCGCCTGGCCATTAATGAACTTCATATCACGTGGACATTGTGAATCGCAGTATCCGGTGCCGTACTGGGCACCAGCCGTATTGGTTGAGGAAACACCTCCATTAGCGGGTAGATTGGCGAAGTAAACAGCACCGTTCAATCCGCAAGGGAGATTAGAGACATCAACATCGAATGTGAACTCCTGATTCAAGAGATTGAACGTCTTATAGTGGGTGTTGTCGGCCAAGAGGTAAACTCGAGATCCAATGTTCTTTGATGATGATTGAGTAACGAAGTTCAATCTCAAAGAACTTCCGCTGGTTGTGATGCCGTAGGTTCCAGAATAGTCTGCACCTTCAAGAGCACAGTTCTTTGCACAAGTGGCATCATCTGGACACAATGTCGCGTCCCAAGTATTTCCTGTGTAACAATTTGTCGAAGTGCCTACTCCGTGAGTCCATCGCCAGTTTCCATCAAGAACAATGCTTCCAGTGTTTGTGGTGCAAGATCCTTTAGCCGTGCAAGATTGCCAAGTGAGAGAAGGATGAGTTTCTTTTTGATATGTACCAACTTGTTGACCATAAACGGCCGCGAAAAGAGAGACTAAAGCAATTCTTGACGTCATGGTGATTTATTGTCAGATTCTTATGTTCATGCAAATTGTAGTTGAGATGAAGGGGAATTTGAACCAGGAAAACCCCTTCACTTTATACTCTATTCCGTGTCCCCCGGGTTGTGGTTAAGAGTTCTTTCACATGGTCAAAGTTCTTGACGTATCTATCACACTCTGACCTCGTCGACGACCGGCTCGAGAGGCCGCTGGACTGACGGTACCAAGAACCTAACATCCGCAACAACAATCGGACAGACGGTCCGTAAAAGAAGACTACTTCGAAAATCAGCTATGGAATGCATGGAAGCTTGGGTTCAGCTGATATGGTTTCTTGCTAAAAAAAGCTTTAGTTTTCACATTTGGGGCCCACAACCATCTCAGAGCAAACAACGACATGACAGTTAGCAAGATATACCCGGAATTGCCAACCGATTTAAATTAAAAGACGCGCAACATTTAAAGTCAGGAACATCGAGCATGGAGTTCGTTGGGCGTTTTGTTTATATTTCTCCGCTACCCCCCCTATTTATACACATGCACGAATCGCAGTTGCAGAAAATATTTTAGCCGAGAAACTAAAGTTCTGTTTCGGCATTCGAGATAAATGTTGTCGAGCTACGACAATTGGCGTGAAATCCAGCAAAAAAATAAGGAACAAAAAGCTCTTTAGCTGTCTCCAACTAAATCATCTTATTATTTCTTGGGAGCTTAACTCTAACAACACAAACAATTGTTGACAGTGTGAAGTGTGGTATTAAGGCTTCACCAATCTAATCGGTCGGCATATTACCTGTGATTTTCAATTAAGAACTAGGGCTCAGATGTGTAGATCCGGAGGACTCTTGTATTGACGCGAAGGCACTTGAAGCTCTTGTGTTAATTTATTCCGTCAAGAGGTCTGCCGAGTACCGGGGTTCCCCAGTTTTCCAACACAACAATGCATGGTCATCAGATTGCCAAGTAAAGCTTGATTGATTGGCAAAGGATAAATTATCCGTGATAATCGAAGAGCTAACCCCCCTGAAAATTCCGGTCATAGGAGCAAAAATAACCAAAACATTGACAACACGAAAAGTCTAAAGGAATAAGAAAAAGCGAGATTGGAAAAAATCGGGGAAGTGGGTCCAACAAGGATAGATACTAAATCCAGGAGTAAATTCGTTACCACAGCCATCTTGAGGCAGTACAATATTTCCCTCCGGGTCAGATTTCACTGTGACGAGGAACACAAAACAAAACATCACATCACAGGACCTTGGACCAGTATACGTCTCTGCTATACCACATACTTAGCCATGGGGACCCCGCCGCCACTTCTCCATTTTACACCACTTAGGCTCAGGCAGAAACTCTCAATGTCTGATTTATACCTAGAATCTATTTCCATTTTCCTCAAGTGCGGGGAACTCTTCAGATCGACAATGCATTCCACATTTGCTTCTGTGCCAGCTACCACCATGTGAAATTCCTGATTAGGCTCGGACAATGACCTTCCGATTTGAATTTCTGAGGCTGCCAAATCTCAGGAATATTCAGATAATTCATGACCTCTCAAT